AAAAAAATCAAAAAATCGCTCTACTGGCATTTTTACAAACTCGTGGAGACTGAAACGAGCAATATGACATACGGTACGCAACGATACTAGTACCCCCAACGGATGGCTACGTATACCAGAATTCCTGAGATGTGGTAGGCGTGGCTGCGCACTCCGTTTGAACGCGGCTGCGCTTTCTGCGCTTTTGGTGGGACATTTTCATTTTCGGACAACTGTAATATTGCCTTTGCCCATAGCAAGATAAAATGACAGTTGGTTCCAATCGAAATATCCTACAAATCCATTCACTCATCCCTATGCCATGTTCAAATTAATTGCGCAGCCACCCCTATAGCGTCCGGATGTGTAGTGTAACAAAGAGCGGTTAACCATTGCAAGCAGGCTTTTCCTGATGAGCCAAGTACTCCTATCAGCTAGGACGGCCGCAACCAGTAAGTAGGGAGCCCACTGAGCTGTTCATTGTTGGTTCATACCGAGGTTGGGTGCGGAGAACTCGCGTGGCCACAGTGAATTTGTTTCTAGTAAGGCCATCGTTTGTGACTAACCAAAAGAGCCCACAAAGAAATTGGAAGACTAAGAAGACTAGAGAGAAATGTACCCTTCACCTGACAAGGTTGCTACTACCAAAAAAACTTCAGCCCACTTTTTTAGCACCGATCTAAAGGCAAGCGCCGCCGCCAGTCTACTTCGTACATAACGGGCAGTTCGGCGACGGACAGGGGGGGGGGCATTTTGCACTTTTGCTACTTCCAATCGACGTGTCGATTTATCTAGACAGCCTTTTCTCGAGTTGACAGGTTTTACCATGATGGCTTGACGACCTCGCTCCAGTTAACAGGCTTCACCACTTGAGACTTGAAAACCAGAAGTAGAGAAGCAATGGAAATACGAAGGGGGGGGGCGGTAATCAAAAGGGTAACACCGGTAGAAAAACGTGTAGGGGAGGCTTGTTCCCAGCAAAGATTCTTCCCAATCCCTAGTCGCAGGTGGCTCATCCATTCTGAGAGACAATATTGGGCACTACGACCGATACAGTTTCCAAAGAACCAATTCCAGTCGTATTCAGGGGTCCCAAATAAGGTCCCAAAGTAACAAGGAGTTTAGCGAAAATTTGAGAGATAAATTGGCTTTTTATGATGCCAACTGGCGCCGTCACCAAAGATTATAACCATGTTCGTCATCGTGCTAGAGAGTAATCCCTCCAGATCGAGTTCCAGCGATAAACAG